TAGAAACCTTGAAACAGAAGCGCTTGCTAGCTGCTGACTCTACCTACCCCTGGAGGGTGAGATATGTACCCTGAGAAATAATCTCTCACTTTCTACATTATACTAGCACTTGACTCAAATTTCAATTCCTTCATTCCTTTCCATGCCCCTATTATCACAATTCTTTGAGGTATTTCTAGTGGAAGATCCTTGCATGAAAATAAGATCAAAACTCAATAAAATAGAGTGCATTACATGCCATATCATACAAAAGTCTATAGTCCTATGATACACATGGCAAAGGCAAAACGAATAAAACTGTATCTAAAGACCTCCTCCTTAAACTTGTAGCACAGGTGATTTCAGTTGAATCTTTGAAATCAAAGTGGTTTCAAGTATTGTCTACCAAACAATTGCATCAAGTATATTGGAGACATTTTTAAAAATATAGTTTCCCAGGCCCCACCTGAAACTTACTGATGCAGAATTTCTGGGGGACAGAGACTATGAAGTCTGCATTTTAAGTAAGCACCTCCGGTAATTCTCAGAATACCATAGTTTGAGCACCACAGTTCTAAAAGAAGCAAGAGGGTATCCCTGGGTGGCTCAGCAGTTTAGCACCTGCCTTCGGCCCAGGGTATGATCCTGGAGTCCTGGGATCGAGTCCCATGTCAGGTTCCTTGCATGGAGCCTGCTTCTCCCTCTGCCTGCGTCTCTGCCTCTCTCTCTGTCTCTTGTGAATAAATAAAATCTTTAAAAAAAATAAAAAATGAAAAAAATAAAAGAAACAAGAAGGACAACCCATGCCAGAAACTGAAAATCGGGATCATAATCTACTCACTCACTAATAGAATGTCATTTTCTTAAGCTTGCCAAAAAACTATTTATTATTATTTCTGGATAATTAGATACAGATAGAGATTATTCCAAATTCATAGGGAAGGATGATAGCTCTGCTCTGTGCATCCTAACCAGTGTTTTTCCCTCCTTCTCTCAATTCACTCATCCATCCCTCTCCTCAAACTAATAGCCTCTCACTTTCTCACTGCAAATACCTACATGATCTGTGTTCACTGCCTCTTTTCCCTAGAAACGGTCCTCTCCTTCAACAACTGTCATCTAGAGCTCCCACCTTGTCATTCTATGTAACATTTACTTAATGCCTGCATATGGCCTAAAAACTGGCAAAGCATTTCAAACACATAATGCTAGCTGATACTCAAAACACTCTTGAAGAAGCATATCTCCTGATTATCTAATAAGGAACCTCAGGCTTATTTCACTGATATTTCACCTCAGTCCAAAAACTAAAATTACATTTTTAAGAGATTTATTTATTTGAGAGTGTGCATGTAAGAGTGGCAGGGGGTGGGGGGCAGAGGGAGAGAAAGTGAATCCTCCAGCTGACTCCTTGCTGAGCATGGAGCCTGCCAAGGAGCTCACCCCAGGACCTAAGACCATGACCTGAGCTGAAATCAAGAGTCGAATGCTTAACAATGAGCCACCTAGGCACCTCCAAAATTACATTCTTAAATAACATTGATAAACTAACACCTTAATTGCTAAATCTTGTGGCATTCCCTCTTGAATCCTTTGCCAAAAATTTACTGACCATCCAATCACTAGAATTTTATTTCAGCTTGGCTTCCCTCATCTTAACTATTTGGTTCTTACAACCTGGATTCATTCTCCTAAGAATGCCTCAGACTCAACCTTCTCTCAGTTTCTGCTTCTCCTCCTACCCCTGCCCTTTTGGTTGTTGTGGTTTTTCCAGTAACCTCTCCAAAATGACAAATGACATTTGACAAATGTAAAATGACAAGTTTGCTGAAAATGACTATTTTCTACAGTTCATTTTTTAAACTTCTACTTTTAAATAATGGAGAAACAAAATTGTTTAAATTAATGTAAAAATAGCAAATAAACAGAAAGATTATGAATAAAAATGAAATAGAATTAAAATTTTTAAATACCCCCACACTTAAAAGGAAATAAAAATGCTATTAAGTGCAAAATGCTATTTGGCATTATGAAGTTGCCAAATTATACCTTGGTATATGAATTAAGAAACTGATCAAAAAAAAAAAGGAAACTGAACAATTGAACAATCCAAGAAATGCTTAAAATGGCGCCTGAATACACAAATAATACATATTGGGAGAACATCCTCACGTTTAAGACAAATAACTAATTTTTAAATTTTAGGGGCAGAGGGCAAGGGAGAATCCTCAGCAGGCTCCATACTTAGCATGGAGCCCAGGGCACGACCCTAAGAACATGAATTGAGCCAAAATCAAACCAGATGCTCAACCAACTGAACCACTTAGGTTCCCTGAGAATAATTATTTTTAAACAACTTAAGAATTCAACCAAGTTTAAAATTTATCTGGTTCTATTTCCTAAATTCCTAGCCTCTTCCTAGTACCTGCATAGCCCCGCAGGCTCTACAGAACCATAGGGGCACTTGAAAGTTTTCTTCCCATGCATTTCCTTCTATTCTTGCTAACTGGATAGTTAGCAATTCTCACCACCTACATAACAATATCGTGGGGTATTTGTTCTCCCCCTCTTGCACTGTTTATCTGAAGATTTGCCTGCTCTGACTGAATCTAACATATGCAACTCTCACTCTTATCCTACTTCAGACTCTTGTTTTAAATACACTATGTTATATAAACTTTAAGAAAAGAGGGGTATTTGGGTGTCTCAGTCGGTTAAGCATCTTCTTCAGCTCAGGTCATGATCCCAGGGTCCTGGGATTGAGACCCCAGTTACTCCCTGTTCAGCGGGGAGTCTGTTTCTCCTGCTGCCCCTTCCCCCAAACTTGAGGGTGCTCTGTATCTCAAATAAATATGTAAATAGAATCAACAAACAAGAGAGAAAGAAAAGAGAGCTAACAAAGGATGATGATGTCAACCTTAGGTCTAATTATTTCAGGTGTTACATGCTTACTAGTGAGAGCATGTGATCTATTCAAGAACAAAATATGATAACACAACTTCAGGTTATTTTGTATACTTCATTCAATTGCTTTTCAAATTGAAACTAATTTAGAGAGGGCCAGTTAAAACCTTTGAAAACTGTCAATGCAGTGCATACCTAATTTCTTTGACAAACATTTGGAAGATCGGATTTGCTCAGGAGAGGCTTGGGACTTAAATGTCGCTGATGGCAGCTTCAACGTTAGCTCAGCTCACCAAACCAACACACCAAAAACTGCTGCCCCTGGGAAAACTGATCAAAGAAATTACTACTGATGAATGACTGAACTCCTCAAGGTGGTCAGCCTTCTGATTACCTAAGAGCCTGAATTTGTCAAAAACAAAACTAAACAATGTATTTCTTATTGTGGGATGCGCAGAAGCCATCAAACATTAGTTACTTTATGGCAATAGGCTCTGAGATAGATCTGTCTACATCTGAACTATATATACCATCTATCCCTACTTAGTACGTCACCTCCACAACAAAGACCAAGAGATATTTAGGTTACCAGTACAGATTTCTAACCACAGATGAAAAGCACAAATTTATCATCTACATGAAACAATCTTAGCCAGTATCACAGGGAGCAGTTCCCTTATCTCAAACGCAGATTTATTGGTGTCTTTTTCTGGCTAAGAGTATTCAATGCATTTATCAAGGTACCAAAGTTGCCCTTACACAAACAAAACATGAAAATTACCTAAAAGGTACAAGTTATAAAGACACAATATGGTATAGAAGAAAAAAACTAGTATTTGAAGGTAAAAAGCCAAGTTTGGACCTCAGTTTTACCACTCATTAGCTGTGATACCTAGGGAAGTTGCTTCTTTGTCTATCAGTGCCCTAGTCTATCACAGTGGAAAAAATATGTGTACTATGAGGATTAAATATACTGTATGCAAAGTACTTCACCAAGTGCCCAGCATGTATTGCATTATCTACGGCTTTTGCTTTAAGAACAGAAAAGTAACTTAATTAGGAAAAAATGAGCTACAACACATTTAAAATCAACTGCTACACAATGAAATGTATTTTTCTTCCAAATGTAGTTTCATCAAAATATGGATACACACTACACTCGTATCCTATGGCTGTGCAAATGTGCCACACAAATTTAGTGACTTAAAACAACACAAATGTATTATCTTACAGCTTCTGGAGGGAGGAGGGCCAAAATGAGTGTTCTCGGGCTAACATCAAAGTGTCAAGGGGTTGTGCTCCTTCTGGACAATCTAGGGAAGAATCTGATCCGCACTTTTTCCAGTGTCTAGAAATTTGGGGAATTCCTGGGCTCATGGCAACATCACTCCAACATTTGCTTTAATTGTCACATCTCCTTTTGCAACTCTGACTTCCTGCCTCCCCTTTCCACTTCAGTAAAAACCCTTGCGATGACACTAGGCTGACCAGATAACTCAGATAATCTTCCCAACTCAAGATTTTTACTGAATCACAAATCGCTTTGCTATTGAAAGTAATATTTCACAGGTTCTGAAGATTGGGACTTGATGTCACTGAGCACTGCAGGGGACATCATTCTGCCCACCATAAACCCTTCAACATAATCTGACATTGTATAAATTCTGGTGCTAAAATAAATGGGTACATATACATTTTGAAATAGCAGACATTTGATTAATCTCTCCTCATTACTTTAAAATAAATCAGCTTCCTAGACAAGCCATAGGCAATTATTTTTAGTTGCACCATTTGATCTTAAATCAGCTGTGACTGGCACATGCTATGCTGTCTTTTATAAATGTCAACATCACATTGTATAAATTGTTGCTATTTATAACCAAGAGAATGTCTGTCATTTTATTTGGCTTTTTTTTTTCTAAATAATCTTTCTTAGACATGAATGCTCTATTTAAAGTTTGACAACACACACACACACAAATAAAAATTTAAAAAATAAAGTTTGACAACACAGGAAAAGTATGTTTCAAAGAGGAATAAATGGTATGTTCCCATCAGATATGGCTTTATCATGATATCTACTCATACCTAAGCACAAAACGTAGACCCAAACTCACCAGTGGTTCTCTATTTTTGACCAGACGAATGATTTTAACTGAGTCTTCCTCATCATCAATATCATCTGGCATTGGAGGTAATACAGGATCATAATTCTTCTGAGCCACAGTATCATGTACAGAAAGCAAAGCCTTTCAAAATCAAAATTTGGAAAAAAATTAATCAAATGTAAAATTCCAAGCATATCTAACTATAAAGAAAATCAAATTGGTGTTACAATTTTGACATAGCAAGGCAACTACTTGAAAATGAGGAGCTTAGAAACAGAAGTATAAAAAAGAGCACAAGGCAGCTCTACTTCCCTGCCACACCACCCCATCCCCAAAGCCACTAATGTAGGACAAAAATCAGCATAAAAGTCTTCTCACCTGCATATTCTCTGGTTTATCCTATAAGGGTGGCAACTAGGGATGGGGTGGGGGCGGTTATTACTTTTTCTAGGAGGGAGAAAGTGAAGCTATAGGTACATTGTTCGATGAGCCAGTAGAAGTCTAAGAGAACTGTATTTTTCCCTCCCTACTGTTAGCAGAACACACACACACACACACACAAAACGAAATGCTGAGCAATATGACTTTCATTTTTTCCTTGATATTCTCACAATTTCATTTTTTGTGTAATAAGCTAACATGTATATAAAAGATTAAAAGTTTTTTTCTAGTCATGAATGTCATGGTGGTAAAACTCCACAAACACTGTGAGATTGTCATTATAGACCAATGACCAAAAAAACACTCAAACCTTGACATGTCACAACTATTTTAGGAGAGTGCATTTTAGACTTTTAACTACCATGTTGCCTAATCACTACCACCACAGTCCGTAAATTAGTTTAGCCAGAAGCCTAGAAATCATCTTTGAAACCGATCTCTCCCCCACCTTACACTCCCCAACGTGGGTTGTAAGTATATTTAACATTTCTGTATATAAGACAATTTTTCCAAGTGGTTGTCCCAGTTTTCACCTTTGAGTTATCTCAGGCTGCCCCTTGAGTCCTTACCCAAGGCATATGCATATTAAAAAAAAACTACCAAAAAGGATTAGAGCAGTGGTTATTAGCTGAGAACAATTTTGCTGCCCAATAGCCACTTGGCAATGTCTGGAGAGTTTGGGTAGTCACAGTGTGGAGGATGCTACTGCCATCTAGTGTGTAGAAGCCAAGGATGCTCCTAAACATCTGACAGCATACAGGGCAGTTCCCTGCCCTCCCCATCCCTTCAAACATTTTCCAGCTCCAAAATATCAATAGTCCCAAGTTTCAGAAACTCTGCATTACAGGGAATAATCCCCAAAGATCACATAGGGCAGGAGTGGCTCCTGGTTCCATCAGTCAGAGGGGAAAGGCTTGGCATTCACAGGGCATTGAGGACATTTAACAGAGGGATATTGTCTTTATACTGGGAAACACTTAGTCCAAGATTAAACACTGCTAAGATGGGATCCCTGGGTGGCGCAGCGGTTTCGCGCCTGCCTTTGGCCCAGGGCGCGATCCTGGAGATCCAGGATCGAATCCCACGTCGGGCTCCCGGTGCATGGAGCCTGCTTCTCCCTCTGCCTCTGTCTCTGCCTCTCTCTCTCTCTGTGACTATCATAAATAAATACATTTAAAAAAAATGGAAAAAAAAAAAACACTGCTAAGATCTCAGCTAACAAAGCTTAAAAGCAAGCCTCTGAAGGATCAACATGTTTCCAAGTAATTTAATTGTAATAGGGAAAAAAACCCTAAAGAATATTACCTATAAAAATAAAAAAATATCCAGCATCAAACAAAGTAAAACTCATGATGACTGAGAATCAATTACTGATAGGAGTTACTAGACAAAGGAAGACTTAAGAAAATACTGCTCATGAAGAAGACCATAACACCACAGAACTAAACCCTGAAAATTACACAGATGACAGAATTATATAGAACCAAATCCTGAAATTACAGATAGACTGTAGACAAGGAAATAATAACTATTATATAATTGTATCCTAAATGTTTAAAAAGCTAGAGGAAAAAATGAGAATCAGACGGGCAATATATAAGAAAGATTCAAATAAAACTTCTAGAGATAAAAGATACAATGTAGGAAATTTTTTTAAAGTGCACTGAGATTAACACATCATTAAAGCAACTTATAAACTAACAAGAAACACAAAGATAAAGTAGAGTAAAAAATTATGAATGGAACATTATTGAGCTATGAGACAACTTATATACACCTAATTGGCATCTCCAAAGAAAGGAGAGGTGCTAAAAATTATTTGAAGAAATATGGCAAAAAATATTCCAAATTTGATTTGGGGGGGGGGGAAGCCCCTAGGTCCAAGAAGTTCAAAATATCCAAGCACAAAAAAAAAAGTAAAATAAAATAAAAAGAAACCACCAAATTTCTTAAAACCAGTGGGAAAGTTAAAATTGGCCAAAGGAAAAAAGATAAAGATGACAACATAATCAGAAACAATGTGAGCTACAAGGTAATAGCAACATCTTTTAAATACTCAAAGAAAACCAGCAACCTAAAGTTCTATACCCAGCAAAAATATCTTTAAGTAATGTGAGCATACTGAAGACTTTTTAAAAGACATACAAAAGCTGAAGGAATTCATCACCAGAACACTTGCATTACAAAATATGTATATGAAGTCTTTCAGACAGGAAGATAGGAATGAGAGTGGATGGGAATATGGATCTATAAAGAGTTGAATGAAAAACATCAGAAATGTCCCCTATCTGGGTATCTATGAAAACTATCTTGCATATAGCTATGACTAACAGAGATGGCTAATAAACATCTTTTAAAATAAAATGATTATTATAGTTGATAGACAATATTAACACCAGCTATGCATTTTCCCTCGTTAGCTTTGTATTCACCTCCATGTCTGCTTTCCAAAACACCTTTTAAGATTTATAGATATCAAGTTCCTAATTCTTTATAGTTTTGCTTTACAAATATTTTTGCTTAGCAACATTTTCATTTTGGACACCTAAAAGTAACTTTGTATTCTATTTGCCTGCTTTAACTGTGGTGACACTATTCTTCAGTATATACATTGTCTTTTTGTAAAAAAGGCAACACCTAAATAAGAAATTGTATTTCCATATGCCATAACCCCACTAATCACAACTGATGGGTTTAACGGTTGCTCAGAAAACTACGCAGGAAATTGAACACTAGGCCTTGTAACTCCTCAGGCACACAGGCTTTCCCTGCTTTGGACCCCCTGGGGTCAATTCTATGTTCTAAGTTTCTGTCAGGTCCACAGAGTTAAGTGTCTAACTCAAAAGAATGAGTAACACTGATTTATTCCTCCAGAAGGAAGCTTCACTTTTCCCTTTTGCATGCTTTAATGAAGTCTCATCCATTCTACATGTTCAGGCGATGAGCAACTTCTGGTAAGCGCATGTTTTGGAAAGCTGAAAAATTGCAACAAATCCTTTTATTTTATTGCCTTTTTAAAACCTATCAAATTTTCCCTGACTTCCTGAATTATAATACCATATTCTAGAGATGATGTCATTTTGTTGTTTTGTCAGAAACAAGCCACTGAATGATGACTCCTATAGGTTAATTTGCCTTTACTGTAGCCACATGATGCCACGGAGTGGTCACTATTTTTAATGTCTCTCTTTGCTTCCCCTAGAAACAAAGTGTCTGTAAAGATCCACATCTTTTCATCAGTGCCCTCAAAGGCTATCAACACTATGGCTCTTCTCCATTCAGTCACTGCAGGAAGCTCCCATACCTTATCACATCCACTGAGGCCTTCTGTTACAGCCCCACTTCCTTTTTCTCAGCATCTGTTGTCTCTTTGATGCTTCATTACTTTTCTTGGACTTTAAGATTTGGACAGTAAGACTGGATTTTATAAACATTATTGAATAATAAAAGTAATTATTATTGATTGTATATGGCAACTGACCAATTAACAGATATCTTTAAAAATATTTATTTACTTATTTGAGAGTGAATGGGAAGTGAGCATGGAGGGAGGGGCAGAGAGAATCTCAAGCAGACTCCCTACTGAGCCCAGAGCCAGAAGCAGGGCTCAATCTCTTTTTTTTTTTAATTTTTTTTTAATTTCTTATTTATTTATGATAGTCACACAGAGATAGAGAGAGAGAGAGGCAGAGACACAGGCAGAGGGAGAAGCAGGCTCCATGCACCAGGAGCCCGACGTGGGATTCGATCCCAAGTCTCCAGGATCGCGCCCTGGGCCAAAGGCAGGCGCCAAACCGCTGCGCCACCCAGGGATCCCAGGGCTCAATCTCACAACCCAGAGATCATGACCTGAGCTGAAACCAAGAGCTGAATGCTTAACGACTGAGCCACCCAGGTGCCCCTCAACTTAGAGATTTTAAGACTGGGTGTAATCTTTAACTCTTTGATAGCCCTCAGGTGACACAACTGTTACAAAATTTCAAATCATTTCCTAACTGTTGGGAATCAAGAGTGACAAACTGTGGATGCCTAGGTGGCTCAGCAGTTGAGAATCTGCCTTCAGCTCAGGGCATGATTCTGGAATCCTGGGATCGAGTCCCACATCGGGCTCCTGCATGGAGCCTGTTTCTCCCTCTGCCTATGCCTCTGCCTCTCTCTTTCTGTGTCTCTCATGAATAAATAAAGAAATATTTAAAAAACAAAAAAGAGTGACAAACTGTACAGGGGGAATGTTGACATATATTCCAGTAGTGTTCAATTAGCAAAACTTAGAATATTAAACAGGGCTTGCAAGGGCATAGGGTTTGGAAAGGACCTTCTCATGCACATCTGTGGGCACTGTACACTGAGAAGATGTCTAGATTATTGCAAAGGACAAGTTGGCAATCACTATCAAAATTTTAGATGTATAGTATTTTAACTCACAATTTACTGACCAATAAAATTCTGAAATATACAAGAGATGTCCATTATAGTGCTATTTAAATAGCAAAAAAAAAAAAAAAAAAGGCAGAGATGCCCACCTCAAAGAGATTAGTTATGTTGCTTCAAAGAGAAGTCCACAAAACACCAAAATGTTAAAAGTCCACAAAACACGAAGTATTGCATTCTAATTATAATGGAAAAAATGTAGGGGTGCCTGGGTGACTAAGTTGGTTAAGTGTCTGAATCTTGATTTCAGCTCAGGTCATAATCTCAGAGTTGTGGGATTGAGACCTGAGTCGGGTTCCATGCTTAGCAGGGAGTCTGCGTGAGATTCTCTCTCCCCATATCCTTCTGTCTGTCCCTCCCACCAAATAAATAAATAAATAAATCTTAAAAAAAAAAGGCCTCTCTCTGTGTGTGTGTGTGTGTGACTATCATAAATAAAAAAAAAAAAGAAAAATGTGTAGGTAATATTTCTGTATGCAAAAAGGAAAAGTAATGCAGCAAATGAACAGTAATTATCCCTAAAAAGTATATGGACACATGTTTCACAGAACAGAAAGTGATTAAACATATGAAATGGTGCTCATCTTCACAAAACATAACAATGAAGAAAGGAACTTCTACTTTCTCCATGGTTTGAATTAAAAATACAATTATGCATTATCAAAATATTTTCCTACTTTTAAAACTTTTTATCAAGTCCCTTTGTAAAAAGTAAAATGAAAGTCAGACTAATTGTCACAACCTTATGAAAGACAAATGTAAACTGTTTAATTATTCCTTCTAACCACATTCACCCTTTTTTTTTTTTTTTACTTTTCCTGTGTGTCTATCTGTCCATCTGTTCCTTAAGTTGGGAATGTTTCTTCTCTATCTCATTATTATGCTTCAATTTTTATACTCAAACCTTTTACTTGGAATTCACTGTGTACTACATACAATATGCAATATTATATATATTATTTTCTCCCAATAATTAACCACTTGGGCCAATACCATGTATTGAAGCTGCATCCAGTTCTACCCATCCATACTTCCATCCATCCCTCACATCCTTCATGGAGGCCATAATCATGTTTCACCTGAATTACCTCCACTGGTTCCAGCTGGCCTTCCTCCATTCAGCATCCCACTCCTCCTGCCCTACCACCACTCCTCCACTCCAAGAATCCGTGTACTAGAACAACGGTGTCACTTGCCTATTTAAATCCTTTCAGTGGCTTTCCACTGCTCTTAGGATGAAATCCAAACTTTGTAATATGCTCACAATAAGAGCGGCCATATAATTTATCATCTAAAAAAAGGAAACAACTGAAATGGAAAGGAGGCTATTAATAATCATGCTGGGACTTCAGGCACAAACCAGACTGTTCCTGGGCAAACCAGGACGTATATAGCCCCTGTACTCAATCAAAGGAGTCCCTGTCTAGCTCTGAACTCTGCCCCTTCCTCTCCTCAAGCTACTGTTCAACCACACTGAACTCATTTACATCCTCAAACTTGACAAGTTATTTTCTTTATGGGACTTCGTATACTATTCACCTTATTTAAAACATCTGTTTTAATGGGCACCTGGGTGGCTCAGTTGATTAAACATCTGACTCTTGATTTTGGCTTAGGTTTTGATCTCAAGGTCATTAGATCTAGCCCTGAGTAGGGCTCACTGCTCAGTGGGATTCTGCTTGAGAACTTCTCCCTCCTGCCCCTCCTCCACAGCCCCCTAGTCTCTCTCTTTCTTAAATAAATCTTTTTTAAGAAATCTATTTTCACATCCTATCCCAACTCATCTTTCCTCTTCCTCCTTTTGGTTACCTCAAATTCAACCTCCAGGGCTCAACTTACTTGCCACTTCCTCTGGAACATTTTCTCCAACCCTCCCCACACTCCTTCCTTCCCAAAGTTAGATCTGGGAACTAGATCCTCCTCTGATGACCACAGTGTTTTAAGGTTTTCTCTATTCATTTGAGAGACAGACAGACAGACAGACAAAGAGAGAGAGAGAGAGAGAGAGAGTAAACTACAGGAAGGGCAGAGGAGAGGGAAAGAGAGAATCCCAAGGAGCCTGCATGACCTGAGCTGAAACCAAGAGTCAGACGCTGGACTGGCTGAGCCACCTACGCACCCCTCCACAGTATTTCTATGTGTTCTTTTACTCAGTATTTCTCCTGTTAGCTTCCTTAACCTTCACGTATCTTCTGCAAGTTGTATCTGTAGGGTCTGGCACAGAGTAGGCATTGGACATTTGAGAATGAATGAATGAGGATCTGACTCCAGGAACATTTACAAATAACCAGAGAAAGTTCTAAATTTTTTCAAAAAGGAGTTGGTAGATCTGTGGAATAGATGTATTGACCTCCTCCTAGGGGCTGTGCATTTAGTTGTATACAACTATGTGTGTTTATAAAAATCATTACTTTTGAGGTAGACCTCAGGTTTCTTTTCACTACTGTGAACAATTTTAAATGAAAGATCCACTTTAACAAGTAAATAATTATTTCCCTTATGCACTGCAAATTAAAAACAATATTCAAATTAACACCCTGGAGTTACGTTTTTCATATTTAAATTGCTCAATTTACAATTCATGTATACCTGTTATAGTCTATTGTACCTTGTTCTGCTTTAAAAAAAAAAAAAGAAAATATTTTACTTTACTAAATGACTTCTCAATTACCTAAAAAAAAGTGAAATTCAGGTAGCCCAGGTGGCTCAGCAGTTTAGCGCCACCTTCGGCCCAGGGCGTGATCCTGGAGACTGGGGATCCGGTCCCACATCTGGCTACCTGCATGGAGCCTGCTTCTCCCTCTGCCTGTGTCTCTGCCTCTCTCTCTCCCTGTGTCCCTAATGAATAAATAAATAAAATCTTTTTTTTTAAGTGAAATTCAAATTGATGGTGTTAATTATTTCAAGGAAAGCAATGTTAAATATTTGGTTATAAAGGGAAGAAAGATATCCCCCCAAGGCTAGCTAACTAGAAATTGCCACTGCCAACTGAAACATCATGTGTCTACAATCTTACCCACTTCCTACACATCACTTACTGAAAATACATCTTTCATGCTGACTTCTCACACATTCTATCACATGGCTATACAAACATAAAACATTTTAAAAGCATTCATCTAAAATATGTTCATAGTTTATAAGGTTGTATCCAATGGTGAGTACAATCTAAAATCATACTTCCCTCTTGAGCAAAAAATACCAGTTTCCATCCAGTATAACCTCTTATTTATTGGCTGTTCTATTCCAAACACTCTTGAATAGAATACCAAATCATGTTGTTTTGTCCGAAACACTCGTTTTCAATTTCTAATACTCAAAACAAGATCGTACTCTCAAAAAGGAGTTTAACAAGCTTCTCCCAGCTAACCTCACCCATCTCTGGTTAATATTCACTTCTCATGTGCACTCAGAACAAATGAAGACATTTTCAGAACTTTCTCTACCTATGAATCTCTTACTCTGAGCTCTTAACCTTTCTACATACTTTAATTTCAAGCAACTATTCTGCTTTAATCTGATCTTTATTCTTTAGAACTAAAATTCAACCAATCTCCTTTGTACCAGTGCAAATCAATTACTCTATACTACTAATGATAGTACACTTATTCTTAACAGCACTTATTTTAATTCTAAGGATTAGGAGTTAAAGTTAGGGCATGTTTTCACTTCATCTTTTATTTAATACTATCTTTCTCTTTTCACTAGCAATTGAAGACTACTTAGAGTTCCAAAGGAAATTTTTCAAGGAAGGTAGAAATCAAGTTTTTGCATCTAGGCAGAAATATTCATTTGACAGCCTACATATGCTTAATAGAAATGATCATAAGATAATTGATCATTTTGGGGCACTTGGGTGACTCAGTAAGTCAAGCATCCAACTCTTGGTATCAGCGCAGGTCATGATCTCAGGGTCATGAGATGGAGCCCAGCATCAAACTCCACACTCAGCAGGAGTCTGCTTGAGATTCTCCCTCTCCCTCTGCCCCTCCTCCTGACTCATACTCTCTCAAATAAATCTTTAAAAAGGAAAAATAACTTATCGTTTCAATTACATAATCCATATGTAATTTTGACTCATGGAACAATCTTTCAAGTGTAATGGCAGCTGTAGCAAGTCCAAAACGTACAGATGATAGGATTTAGTGCATTAGTGACCTCAGAATTAACAGGAACATTTTGAAATGACTTCTGTTGTCCAAGCACCTTTGGGGGAAAGGTAAGTGATACATACCTGGAAGAAAAATGGCAGGGAAGGAGTGAAATAGGTGAAGGAGATTAAGAGATACAATCTTCCAGTTACAAAATAAGTAAAAGGCAGAAATGTCATATACCACAGAGGGAATATAGTCAATGATAGTGTAACAACTTTGTAGGGTGACATACAGTACCTGGACTAATTGCGGTGATCATTTTGTAATGTGTATACATATCAGAGGTCACTATGTTGTACACCTGAAACTAATACAATATTGTTATATCAACTAGTCTTCAAAAAAAAATGGCAAGGAGACTTGAAATCTGCCTACTGATACTAATATTCTATACTGGAAAACTGCTCTGCTCTGTAAAGGGTAGTATTTATTAAAATATGAATTAGTGGAGGGAGAGGAGATGGGGCAGATAACAGGGGAGGGCAAAGTGAAAAACTGAAATGATCCTATACAAAAATAGGTACAGCTGTCCAATATATTGGAATACCATTCACTAGCCATGTAAAATGACCTAAACAAAATCACTGATAGATTCTGTATTCTGTACTCTTACCTTCATTTAAAGGAAACTGACCTTGAAGTGACATTATATTCACTACCTGAAATCCTGAGCTACCCAATTAAAGTATTTTGTAGTCACATTATTATCAAAAGCTCAACTTTCTTCCTTAATGGGATTTGGGTTATTAAAATACTGTGCACGATTTGAAAATACATTCACTTGAAAATTGACGCTCGAAATAAAATTCATCTGAAGCCTCAGAAAGTGGCCCTTCTGGAAGATATTTATTACACGTCCTCACCTTCACATTGGGTTTTGACAGGAGTTTCAACAGCTCTCTGATCTCACTGTTTAATGGCTTGTTCTGAAGCTCTTCAGCCAGCTGTAAGGGAGATCACATTGACACAGAGAACATTTAGTAAGGGCGCTGTGTTGCTCCATATGTGACAACCGAGAATCTATCTTGCCACTTTCCAGTGATTAAGGAGAGGTCGGTATGAAAGAAAACAGACCATCAATGACGGCTCCTCTTTTCAGGCCCTTGGTAGGCCAGATCCCAAGCCAGGATCGTGGCTGAGTAGAACTCCAAAAATCATATCAGCCAGATCACCTTCTGATTTATTGCAATGAGGGTAAATCCCAGCACTTCATCTTAAGGAATGGTCTTTTGCATGCAAACAAAGGACCACTTGTCAAAAGGATTGGATCCGGTTTTGACACTATTTTTTAAAAAGAGAGAAAGAAAGAAAATGGAAAAAAAAAAAAAGAAAGGTTCTGAATGAGGTGGTGAAATCCACAGGTTTCCCAAAAACCCACAATAGCTTGCTGTTTAGAGCTGGAGGAAAAAGAACTAGAATGTCTTTAATAGAGCAAATGATCTGAAACGTTTATGTTTACCTACAGAATAAGAAATCCATTCAATATAAACCAGGTTAATCACAAAATGACTTAAAATAGGTTGACAAGTACTCTGGGAACAAACATGCTGACCGTATTCTACTATCATGATAAAGCATTCCCATTTGCTGGTTCTAGCTAAAGAATAGTTGGAACTTTGAACCTGCTTCATGTTCTTCAAGAGATTTTCCTATCAAGACTCTTCCATTTTAGGCTATAGTAAGGATATAATTTCCTAAGAAGAAAAGGCAAGACCAAACAGAAAGAGAAATTATACTGTGAAATATGTAGAAGAGAATTCAAAATATGTACAATATATTTTCCTTAAAAAAACCCATCTTAAAACACTGCTTGAAATTTCTCTGGTCTTATTGTTTCTACCAAACTAAAAACAATTGTTCTTATCTCTAGACAAGGACTTTCCTCTAAAAGAAGGGCATAAAGTAAATTATACACTAAAATAAAATGTCATAAATTGATATATTCGTTGGTTACATTTCAAAAAGTGACTTAACTTTTTGAACGTAAAATTTTTGTTTTTCAAGGTAAAGCAATTGTGATAATTGTTAACCTACAAAAAGTCACAGAAGGCTCTTTGCATTCTTTAGTCACTTTATAACAATACTTTTAAAAATTTAAATATATTGTTCTGATGAATTAGAAAATGCTATATTTTACCATATTATAATAACAGCCTCTAATTTTTTTAAAAAACAATCATAATATGATTGGGCCTCAGAGGAGCCCTGAGTGGCTCAGTGGTTTGGTGCCTGCTTCAGCCCAGGGCATGATCCTGGAGTCCTGGGATTGAGTCCCACAGCAGGCTTCCTCCATGGAGCCTGTTTCTCTCTCTTCCTGTGTCTCTGCCTGCCTCTCTCTCTCTCTCTCTCTCTCTCTCTCTCTCTCTCTCTCTGTGTGTCTCTCATGAATAAATAAACTCTTCTTTTAAAAAAAAAGTATGATTGGGCCTCAATCACACTGGATAGTTAATAAATATTTCTCCAAACTTCAATAGTTAAAGTTTTTAAAGTGATTTCTTGAGACTTTCTCAAGTGGCAACTGCAGCTTACTAGAATTCTATCTGTAACTTTACTCACCTTCACTTTAAAAATTTTGGTTCTATAATGCAGAGGAGTAAGCTTCCTCATAAACACATAAACTGAAATATCTCTATAATTTGTAATCTCTGTGGATAGAACTGGAAAGGAGTTTGAGAGACTAAACAAATAGCAAATCACTTAGAGATTTATTACATATGCCTTATTATCTAAATTAAAATAGAAAACATATATAAGAAAATCAACTTCTGAAGATGATCGGTTGTTTTTTAGTTTTTTTAAAATTATATGGCCCGATATTTAAAGTGAACTATGGCTTTTTTTTTAATCACAACCAAGGAAAAAATTTAAAAAGCAACAGATAAGCTCTAGGAGATCACGAAAACCAGCCTTCACATGAGACCTATTTCTCATCTGGCTTAGTGTCCTTTATAGTTTATCCAGGTGTGCTTTCAATTCATCCGAGTTTGTAAGTGAATGGCAAGAAACAGCAAGGTAATTCCCTCCTTCAGATTGAAAATAAAATTACAGCTACAGGAAATTAACTACTCCATCAATGCCAACTGCTTCTAAAATTTATTTTTTGGTTATGAAGGTAATTTGGAAAGGACTAATATCCATAAATCATTATGATGCTTTATAATCCATTTTAAAAACAATCCTGTCTTTTTATGTATTTCATCAGGTCTCATTCCGACACTAGCGTATCTGTCATTTTTTAGCACTGTCAGCAACAGACCTATCTCATTTGTCTTTATTTCTCCAAAGCATTCCTCCTGCCTGTGACTTTCTCAGAACACTAGTAGCTGACAGTTTCTCTCTGCCCAGAGAGTTCTAGCCGCAAATTTCTTCTACCATAGCTACCCAGGTAGAACAGAGGGCATCTCCACGCACAATTTTTTTGAGCGGGAGAGTGAATGCAAATCAGCACAGTATCCGCATAAGGTCCTTGGTGACAGGACTTTTGGAAACATCTGCAGGTTCTTCTGGTTTTCACTCCTAGGATCTCACACTTGTGTCTGTGCCAGGAAGAGCTCTGCTCAGGGCCGGGCCCAAGGGAGCTGGATGGCAGGGAGCTCCAAAAGGCACACTTACATCATCAGCCAAGACTGCTGCGCCGTGGAGAATGGGCACGGGGTTCTGCTTCTCATAGTAGTGGAGCTTTTCATGAATCTAGAAGAAAAACAAGAGTATACAAGTTCACCTGCTAGCTAACGGTGAGATAGTTGAAGGGTTTTCAGCATGCAAATAGAAATGGATGCACTAAACCTCAAACAAAAATTAAACGTTTCTATAAATCTATAGATGACAAATATGTGGACCTAATTCTATGGTCCAGTGTTTCAATGTGATGTCAAATGGGGGCAAAAATCGTTATCAAACAGAGCCCACATAAAAGCTAAACCTTTCTTTTTCCCTTGAATAATTATGATAGTTTTCAAAAATCTGTAACTTCTAAAACATTTTGCTTCAGTAGCAGTTGTAGTTCATATCTCTGCTAAAAACATAAATTATGATTAAAGCCAAGTGATGAGGCAGCAGCCACTTGGGTTGGTACATGACAACCACTAGAAGCAAGAGAGCTGGTGTGGTGTGTGCCTTCCCAAGCATGCTGTTCCTTCCCTTTGCTTAGTCTTTTTTCCTCCCAGATTCTCAACATTTCCCCCAAATTCAAACTTCTAAGAAACAAAGGGATTGCTCTTAGTTGAAGACATTTCTTAGATGTATTGAGCTTGGATAACTTTCTGTCCTGTAAAACAAGGAAAATTACACTATCAAAGAATAATTGGGTCCTTTCATTCCCGACATTACCCAAGAAAAACAAAGGCAAGAATTTATTTTAGTGTGCTAGAAGACACACAGAGTTCCTTTAAAAATCTAGTATTGGGCAGCCCTGGTGGCACAGCAGTTTAGCACCGCCTGTGGCCCAGGGCGTGATCCTGGAGACCCGGCATGGAGTCCCACATCCGGCTCCCTGCATGGAGCCTGCTTCTCCCTCTGCCTGTGTCTCTGCCTCATTCTCTCTCTCTCTCTCTCTCTCTCTCTCTGGGTCTCTGTGAATAAATAAATAAATAAATTCTTTTTAAAAAATTCTAGTATTATGGGAATCCCTGGGTGGCTTAGCGGTTTAGTGCTCGCCTTCGGCCCAGGGTGTGATACTGGAGACCTGGGATCGAGTCCCACATCAGGCTCCCTGCATGGAGCCTGCTTCTTCCTCTGCCTGTGTCTCTGCCCCCCCCCCTCAGTGTCTCTCATGAATAAATAAATAAAATCTTAAAAAAATCTAGTATTATCATTAAGAAATGAAAGATGCTTTGACAAATGCAAAACTGTTGGCTTTTAAGTTTTATCTATTTCAGCTCTTACACAGGTGCCTTTAAAATGTTATACTTGAAAACTTACTTGAGCCTCCTCTTCTTTACAGTTGAAGAAACTACCCCCCCCCACTATATATATAAAATAGTTGCACCTCATAATTTCCAGTTTTTAATAGGTATCAAGTAATATATTCATAGGTAACAAGTCATCTACTCTTTAATTAGACTCAAAGCTAACCAAACCCTCTTGTAAAAACTCTGGAAGATAGATTTTACATTGATTAGCCAGATGCTATTGCTAAGGGGGGATTCCATTGCCTTTTTGGCAACCTGGCCCACAGTGCAGAGTATCAGGGCAGGAATTTTGATACTTAGGATATTATTACCAGAATGATCAGGGCCACATTTTTACTTAATATCTTGGAACCTTCACTCATTAAACAGTAGGGTAATAAACAAAATTTTTTAAGAATGCAAGCTATAAAAAGAGCAAGATTTGATGTGACAAAGTATTAAAAGTATAATTTAAAACAAAACCATCCAACCTAAAAGCTTAATTAATCTTGCTTGAGTCATTGCCAAAAATTAGACCACGTCAACAAATACTATCATAGAATATTGAGCTCAGCCTCTCCTATAACTCATCTAGCTTTCTTGCAACCAATTGTTTAAATGTCTGCTTCCCTGCGATGGTAAATATAGAGGCTCACTTTTTTTTTTTTTTAAGGTACTACCAGAGGTCTGTATTCCCTACTAATAATGATCAGGTGGGAAAAAAAAAAGATCAGTACTGTCAGTAATATCATCTTCAGTGAGTTTAATATTTTAATCCCTTAACTCTCACAAGAATATTAAGAGGCAGATGGCACCATCATTCGACTTTACAGATCAGCAGATACATAGGAGTTAAATAATAACTTGTGATGGTCCCACACATAGAAACAACCGAGCTGGGACTTAAACTCAGGCCACCTGGCTCAGTGTCAGAGCTCTTCATCACTCCACATGCCTGCCTCTCAGACTAACATCTCGTCTGTCTTCTTCACTGACCTCAATCACTACTGGATGAACAGGATAGAGAGAGGCTCACGGATATGTGACAAATAATACTAGCTGTTTCCAATGACTACAGGATTAGGGATGGCTCCTCTTCACCCCTCCCTGTATTTTTTCTTTCCGACAATTCTTAATTTTTCCAGATTAACTTATATTGATACTGTACCATAATTACAACTTAAAAATTATATGCCCCAAATAAACACATTCTTTCTCCACTTCATTTCCTTCTTCTGAGGGTCTTTTAAAAACAAAGAGCCCCTCTTTCCATATCATCATCTTTCCATCTTCACCCAAGTGAGTTGAGTGCATACCCCTACTCTTCCCACTCTGGGACTTTGTATTGTATCAGGAATTTTTAAATGCTCTCCCAGAATTTCCAAATGCTGGTAGCCCTATGTTGATATGTGTTTTACTTCAGGACATAATTTTAAATATTAAGTTGGTATGAAAGTAAAAATTACTGCAAGCAATTTTGGGCTATTCACAGTTTCCAAAATCACTGACTTTTATTGGTATTTATAATATCCAGGAAGAAAATTTTTTTAATGATTTTCAAATTCAAATACAATAAACAGGTAACATATAAACTTCACCCCAGGGCTATCCAACAGAACTCCTTGGATGTTGAAAATGTTCTGTACCTTCTTGTCCAACATGGTTTGTCACTAGCCACATGTGCATACTGAACACTTGAACTGTGGCTAGTTTACTTGAGGAACTGAATTTTTTATTTTATTTTTATTAATTTAAAGGCCCACATGAGGCTAGTGGTTTTAATATTGAATAACATGGCAAGATTTTATGTTAAACGCTCTGTAACTCAACTTTGCACATCAGAAAAATTCACTCTGATATAGTTTGGCCAATTTCCCTAAGTGGTCACATTTTGGAACCCAACAGACAAATACACAACCAAAAACACAGCATCTAATTATCTGTGCACTGCCAAACCTGCAAAATCTCACTTATTTTACCTAAACGCTTCCCTTTGCAGACTCAACTGTGTAATAAAAGTGTACTTCATTTTTCTCCCTTGAACAAGAGGAGAGCAAAGTGGTAGGAGTTGCAGAAAGAAAGAAGTGAAGACAACTGGAGAAGGGGAGACTCTGGTTAAATTAGTTTCATACGATAGCAAAATAGTTACTCATTAAAAGATATGCTTCTAAAATATGTAAAGTACACTATTAAGAAAAAAAGAACATTTCAAAAGAGACATTTATGTTCCAATTAATAGTGTATATGCACATGTCCGTGTTTGTTTTCTACAATTACACGTATATCAGAAAAAATTAAAATAAAAATCATTTCTATATGTAATTTGTTCTTTTTTTAGTTTTATTTTAAGATTTATTTGTTTAGAGAGAGAGACAGAGTTGCAGGAGGGAGGGATAAAGGGAGAGGGAGAGAGAAACACAAGCAGACTCTGAGCTGAGCACAGAGCCAGAGGCCAGCTGTATCTCATGATCCTGAGATCATGACCAGAGGCAAAACCAAGAGCTGGCCTCTCAACTGACTGAGCCACCCAGGTCCCCCTATATGTAACCAATTCTTATAGGAAAGCTATAATTACCTTCATTTGCATACTTCTTGAAAATTAGTGTTTAATTTTTGTAAGAGAATCTGGTGCCAATAATTTAATTTTTATACATGTATCACAGAAACTGAAATGAAACTTGAATAATGAAAGAATAAATAAAGCTTGACCAATCTCAATGCAATCATTTGAAACTTCTCACTGATGTGTAACCCATCTATCTCACTGACGGGTAAATGGAAGAACCCAATTATGGAATTAAATAAACCAAAGCTGTAAAAATCCCTTTTCTGCTTTCTATTATGAATATTAAAAAGCAATGAAAATAACTGCTCAATAGTTTTAGCCAAACCAGAATTGGTATTGTGCACACACACGCTCGCATGCACACATACACAAACACCCCCCCCCCAATCTACCTCATTTATTTACAACATGGAGAGGAGAGAGTTCTGAGTTTTGTTTTTTTTTTAAAGATTAACTTGAAAATAATAATAATCTTGAGAAGTGGTACTTTGACAGCATATTAAAGGACTCCCCTAGAAGATTCTTTTTTTAAATTTTTTTAAATTTTTTTATTTTATTTATTCATTCATGATAAAGAGAGAGACAGAGACACAGGCAGAGGGAGAAGCAGGCTCCATGCTGGGAGCCCGACGCAGGACTCGATCCCAGGACTCCAGGATCATGCCCTAGGCTGAAGGCAGCGCTAAACTGCTGAGCCACCCAGGGATCCCAGTTCTGAGTTGTAGAAGAAGATCCATGGGACACAACGACAGCCAAGAGGAGCTGGTAATGACATATCATGTTGTGTAGGGATTAAAAAAAGAAGAAGAAATATTCTAATGGCTGGGATCCTTTTTTTAAAATAATAATCTTTCTCAAAAAAAACCCCTCTTTATTAGGAAAGAGGAAATGTAAAAACAACAACAACAGAGCAGAGACAATAGTGCCAACTGTATGCCCTTCTTTCCAATTATATACCACTAATCTCTCTAAGCTAATAGCTCCGAAAAACTAAAATTAATAAAACTGATGAGAGTTGATGTTCTTGTTTTGTTTCCTGCCTTGAATAAGATAAATTCTGTCTATACATTGCCATAGATACTTAGATCCTGTGAAATTAGTACCCACATATTCAAATGTATGAAGAGGCTTTTGTGGGTTTTTTTTTTTAAAGATTTATTTATTTATTTGAGAAAAGAGCAGGAAGAGGCGCAGAGGGAGAGAGAGAGAGAATCTCAAGCAGACTCCTCCCTGAG